ACTTTGCAAGATGTATGGTTTTGATGAGGGTATGCTTGTCACCATGGATCTTGGTGATCCTAAAATCGAGCAAGACAATATGGACATTTGGGGTCCTTGTTGATACGCTTCCAATTCTTCCCCTATGTGAGCTTCTCAAACATAGTTATTAAGTAATTTATATTGTTTATTTCAAAATAGTTGACAACTTATTTTCATTGACAGCTTATTTTCATTCTTCAAAGAATGTGCGGAAGATGGTAGACAAAACCCACTACACCGATGGTACCGAATTAACTTATCAGGAGAAAAATCATTTGATCGCATTTTGTACTGATCTTGAGAATTACAATATCTACAATCGAACTCCTCAACATTATGGTCAATACATGCCACTAGTGCACGTGTTGAACTACGATAACTACCATGGAGATACCCTGGTAAGGTTTTTTACTATTACGACATCCGTGCATCTTTTGCATACTTCTAAAACTAGTATATCATTGCTAACTACGAAGTTATTAGTATGTTTTTCAACAGATAATCCCGAATGATTGTGTGCCTCATCCGATGTATCAGCACGGTCGTCTTGATGTTTTGAACATACAACCAGGTCGTCCTACGAATCTCAACTGTCCATACCGGATTTCTAAAAAAAGTGGAGACATGACAATCAAAGAATGAAAAAAATGTATGGACAGTTGTAAGGAGGTTCTTGGAAGCAAAAGGAAGCGAAGCGCAAGAATTGGAGACAGGATGATCTCCATTCTCCATAATGAAGAGTCGGGGTCTATATTGTTTTATGATATTTTACCTTAAAGAGAGTATTTAATTAGATCCTACCTAATAGTGATGATCATGTGCTAAGAACAATTAAGTAGGGTTGGTTCGATAACTATGAGGATGATGATCGTATGACTTGTTATTAATAACGAGTAGAAGTTGTATGATGATGATTAATTAGTAGGACTTGTTATTATATATGATGATGCATGATTCGAGTATGAAGAGTTATTATATATCAGTGGGTGAAATGAACATGGATTGGATTATTGAAGTGAAGGCAACATGCATGTGGTGCATGTCGAAAGTAGTACAATCCAGACTTGATCAAGTTAGGATTAGTATCACTTTCGACATGCACCACATGTTGCCTTCACTTCAATCTAAGCCGTGTTAGCGTTAGGCATAGCAGTAGCGTTGGTAAACCAAGCACGGAGATATATAAGAGAGGACACTTTTATCTATTAGCTAACTAATAACAACCTAAATTAACCCCTAAACCAGCCCCTTTCAAAAAAAAAACTCAGCTCCAGCCAGGTGCTGACGCGTGGATGCCTTTTGATTCCGGTTGGTGTCACCAACCAGGACTAAAGGCCCCCCTGCCTGGTCTGGCCGCAGCGGCCACGTGGAGGCCCATCTGTCTCGGTTTGTGTAAGAACCGGGACTAAAGGCCAAGGACATTAGTAACGATATTTTAGTCCCGGTTTCAAAACCGGGACAGAAGGCCCTTACGAACCGGGACAAAAGGCCCTTTTTCTACTAGTGATGGGACAAGATTGCAAAGTGCCTAAAAAGGATGCGAGCAACCACGCGTCCCTAGTGGATAAGAAGAAGGAAGAGGAAAGAGCGGTCGCCATTCGGCGGCTCGACACGTACGCCCGAACGAAAAATTCTGACGTGTCACGCTATATGCATCAAGATTCATGCGCCCAGAATCTAATGGTCCAACACGTTCGGCTTGAATATCTAAATTCCTGACGTGTGGCATTTATTATTTGAGAATAAAAGAGCATTTTTGAATAAAAGCAACCTATTTTTATTCAGTAGCATACATAGTAGATATGTATTACGACTCTATAAAAGGAAATCCTGCAACATAGTATTAGCAAATTAACTCCTAAATAGAGCTAGTTTCCTCGCAGCTAAGAGATGATCAGGAGAGCGAAAAAAAGTTAATTCCTATCGATGGCACGAAGGAGAGGACCATACATACTAGCTAGCCACCAGCTGCGGCCTTCCTAGCTTTCTTGTCATCGATGAAGTGTTGCATGAGATAGGAAACGAAACCCCAGGCGGCGATGAGCATGGCAATGATCTTGATCCCATCCATGGTGTCGTCGAAGATGAGGACGGCGAAGAGGGGCACGATGGGCAGCGAGACGGTGCTGATGACGTTGGAGAAGAGGGAGGAGACCTCGAAGACGAGCCCCACCACCCCGACGGAGGTGATCTGCCACGACACGGCCGTCCACACCAGCGTCATGAAGTAGGAGAACTGGCCGGAGCGAAAGGTGTCCATCTCCTCCGTCATCATCCTCCACTCGCCGCTGGCGAAGAGGCCGACCATGGAGGCGACGGTGGCGACGAGCGCCGTGTATATCTGCATGTTGAGCACGGCCGTGTAGGTGTGCTTCTTGATCACGTTCTCGAAGGTGAGCTGCATGAGGGAGAGGATGAGCGAGTAGGTGCCCGACGCCCCCAGCGTCAGCAGGAAGCCCATGAGGTACTTGCCCCGAGGCATGCCGCTCATGTCCTCCGTCTCGTCGTGGTTCACCCCGAGAAGCGCGTCGGACAGCGTAAGCAGGATCACCGCGTTGAAGATCAGGCCGGTGAGCTTCTGCGAGTTGAGCACGTACGAGAAGACGACATTGAAGGCCAGCTGGCTGGCGCAGATGAGTGAGTAGGTGGAGACCGGGAGGTACTTGAGGCCGCTGGCGTACATCATGTCGTCGGCGGCTATGACGAGCCCCAGGACGACGTAGATCACGGCGACCTTGGCGACCGGAGCGTCGCCGCTGGCGCCGCCGCCGTCGGATGACTTGGGAAAACACAAGAGGGCGAGGAACAGTATGGGGAAGCCGGTGGTCTGCACGAACGTTGATATCCACTTGCTTCTGCCGCCCTGGTGGTAGTAGTACCTCCCCAGCAGCGTCGCGGACGTCTGGCCGGCGACGACGAAGAAGACGTCCACCGACACCATCATCCACCACCTCCAGTTCTTGGCGCCGGAGTTCTTTGATGGTGCCCCCGGCTCGGCTTTGGGTGGCCCTGTGGTTTAGAGCGAGAACTGTAAAATTCAGTGACGTCAATGACAGAAATGTGTTCTGTAGAAGAATCACTAGGAGTTTGACAGGTAAAATTATTTTCTTTCCCTCATGTTCACATTTCGCTCTTTGAAGAATAACACTGTGAATCAATTTAACCGCGCGTTCGCACCATTAGACCGTGGATTTGGCGAAGCCAGCGAGCAGCCAAACGGCAGGACGGATTGAACAAATGAAACCCGTCCAGGAGTTAAAAATGGACAACCGGAGATGGAGTGATGGGTACTCGCAAACTGACCTGCGGGGATCTGTATCTGGACCTCGGCGTTGCTCGTGCTGCCCGCATTGTTGCCGGCGCTGGCGTCGGCCATCTCATCCGATCGGGATCCAAGTCAGGAGAAGGAGGAGGAGGAGAGGGGAGGCGATTGCAGATCGAGAGGACGAGGAGGTTTAGCGGTGGAGAGGAACAAGAGGGCATGCGGAGGTGCGAGATGGAGTGGAGATGGGTGGGAAGAACAAGAGCCCGAGTCCGCCCGTTAATTTCTCTGCCGCTTTCCTCGTCTCGCTGTTGCCCACTCACTGTGCAGCATGCAGAGATCGATGCACACGCAGAGTTTTACGGGTCAATGCAAGAGTTGTCCGTCTTCATGCATGTATTGCAGCAGAGGGCACCAGGTATGTGTTGGGACACAGGCGGAGATCCTGGTAGGGCGAGGTGTGGCGCTCGCCCTACCTTGATTTGGAGCGGAATTTTTTATATAGGTACTAGTACAAATGCCCGTGCGTTGCAACGGGGAAAAAAAATAGAACACTATGACATGACGGGCATATTGAAGACGGCATAGACATGGGTATATCATCCATGACATAATCATCACATAAGCAGACATCACTGGTATCTTTTAAGCATGGCTCAAGGACCCTCTCCACTCAATTTCAACATGCCTCTTATCCCCAAACGATGGCTTAAGGATGTTAAGTAACAACTATGATAAAATTATTTATAGACCTGTATTTACAACCCATCCCACATCAAAATGATATAGGAAGATATAAAAAACATCCTTTGGAAAATATTTTCTAAATTATTATACTGTTTAGAATTATTATTAAAGAGTTTATAAAATAAGTAAAATTGAATTAGCAAGTTGGATGGAAATTGTACACTGTAATTTCATGTCCAACAGTCCAACTTAGACGGCTCCATCAAATATATGTAGTGTCCAAACAAATCATACACTGTAATTTGAAGTACAGATTAGACTGATGCATCAAATATAGTGTACATCTAAAGTCTGAATTGTTCTCCTAGGATATCCATGAACATTTAGTAGACATTTTAGTTCCATTGCCCACGACCAATTGCCAATCATGAACCCTAAGAAACGGGATCAAGGAGTCAATATTGAACGTCAAAATCGACAGATGAAACATTACGGTAGATACATGTAGTTCTGTGGACCTGTACCTCTCCCTAGTGCACTGCGGCGTCGCATGAAGCCACCCAGCAGCCAACAAACCAGATTGATCTGTCAAAAGTAGATTCCAGACGAATCAACATCACCTGTAAATCAAACGGGGGTTTCTTCCACAGTGTATATGTCACAGCACCACAACAGTACACACTCCCCAATGTTTGTAGCAGAATCCCGTGCATCCATATTTTGCGGAGGCTAGTCGTCGATGGCATCCAGTGCATGGCCACGTCCACGGCAAGTCGTTCCGACGACCACGCAACTGCAACATCCTTTTCTCCTTCCGTCACTTATCTTGGGCACCATCATCGGTGGACGGTGAGAAGGACCAACACATTCACGGCCTAGCTGCAGAACTTGAGGTCATGGCCGAAAGCGCTTGCGGGGAACCGGCAGAGCACGCATATTATACACCTGGGAACACAAGGTCCATAACTTAGTTCTTATAGCATGTAAAATATCTTTGCTTGGTTGTAGCTTTGACCAAATCACCAGAAGAATGGGCACCAGATTGCAGCGTGAGTGCAGATTAGCATTTATTTTAAGTGCTATTATGCTGGCCTTTTTAAGGTATGGTTTGTTCGGATTTCAGTGTGAGAATTCTACAAAAAAAAACTATCTTAAATACCATTGTTATCCAAAAAAAATTCTAAGTGTAATGAAAATCTATATAAGAAAAGCTATGCATCTAGGAACATGCAACGTCCCTTCTGAATAATCATTAGATCACTAAACTGTTAACAGAAGGATGTAAGTGCACAGAGAGGACATGATCAGCAATGGAAAAAGCAAATTTGCAGATAGTAAATAACCTTCTATAGTTAGACTATATACACTAAGAGAATCTGGAAGAAAACGATTCGCAAAATGTACAAAAACTTAACTCTACAGCCTCCAGTGCAGGCTATACAAAACTTAAAATCCCTATGTTCTCTTTGTGAAAATGCCTGTGCGTTGTAGTAGTCCATGAAGGAAAGGAATATGTTCTGCACTCTGTCAGCTTCCTGGAGAAGTACGAGGAAGAGATGGGCGATGCGATGGAAAAGATGAGTTCAGAGAAGGGAAAGGAACAACTGGCCCCGTCCTTTACCACATAAATACCTCTTTCACTGCCACCCATACAGTGGACTCCGCCCGAATAGGGCTCGGCGTAGTTGAACACTGACGCAAGTTTTTAGCCGATAGTGGCTGGGATGGGCGGGGGCTGTAGCCAGGGATTATAGAGGCTAAGTGTATCTGTCGACATACTATCAGTTACCAGTTTCCGATAGTGTGGAGGAAGCTGAAGCCCGGGCAACCCTGGTTCGGCTGCATGCTCTGGCAAAAGTTTTCAGAGGACCCGTGGAGCTTGAGATGGATTGCAAAACGGTGACTGAATATCTAAACTCGGATGTGCCCACTCTTGCTCCCTGCTATGGAGTGATCCAAGATATAAAGGCGGCCCTTTCTTGCTTTCCTTCATTCAAAGTTGTATTTACAGGAAGGAGGAGTCTTGTTAGCTTCAACACCAAACTTGGGAAAGATCTGAAGGATTATGTCATTCAAATAGCAGGTGGGGGAAACACATCAATAATATATAGCAGAAACATATAGATGAACTATAGCTCTATATAGAAACCATTGCTTTCTGACATACAAAATGGTACGTACAGAATGAGATGAGCAAGAAAGCTTGGGACAAATACACAAATGCAGTTTCTGAACTTACTGTAATAATGAACATACAGATTAATAATTAAGTAGGAGGATAGTTGTGCGGTTCGTTTCTTTTCTGAGGGCTAATGCTCATTTCCGGAGGAAAATAATCTCAGATTTCTAACTAAACTATAATCCCGCTCAACACGAATTGGTTCATTCAGATGCCTTGCCCATATAACTGAATATCTAATAAAAAGAAGAAAAAATAAGCTGCTAGCATAGTCAGAGGCAGGGGACAGAAACAACATCTAAAACAGGGAATTGCATACAATGAATATCAAGGGGATATATACCTCTGGTGTAGCCGCCGAAAACGACATTGGACGGTTGGACAGACGTTCTTGTTCCTTCGGCGAACTCGGCGTTTCTTCCTCCGGCGAACTCGGCGGCGACATTGGACGTTTCGACGAAACTTGCAATTTCGACGGGATTTGATGGAGCTCCTGGTCCAAGGACGCAACCTGATGGAGATTCCGGCCGAGGACACTTCCTTCTTATGCCAGGCAAATCAAATCCGGGTCGGGCACTCCATTGCTTGGTGTTGGAGAAGGACACGGCCTCCTATTGTCCATCCAAGCAGGCCACGAGAGAGGGGACGGCGAGGAAGGGGGGGTGTACTGAAGATGGTGGCGGCTGCCGGCAGGAGGTGGCCGTGGCGGCGGCGGAGGCTGGAGGGCGCGAGCCTCGTCGCGGCCGCTCGCAGGGACATGCCCTTCCTTACTTGGCAGAGCGAGACGGGGGGAGAATGGGAGCACGGGAGAGTACCCCTCCCCGGCGCTCCTTCTTCTCCTCCGCGGCTCACCGCCGCCGTGGGGCCTCCTGCCGGCGCCCCCCTCACGACACGGGAGCGACTCTGCCGCGCAGAGCGCAAACCTCCTTATCTCGCCAACCCAGGCCCAATAGAAAGTAACGGCCCAAGCGTGCCCATGAGCGAAAGAATTAAATCTTTAGTGCGTACCCCAAATTAGTACCACCTCGTTTATATCATTTTTATTACGATTTTGTCCATACAAATTGTAAAAGCGTACTATAACATGAGAAGAAAGCGTATTGTGACGGTGAACCTGACAAAGTCGATCCGTGCTTCATTATTCCTAGTAAACATGCCCGTGCGTTGCAACGGAAGAAAATAAATTAACATGCTTCACTGCGAAGCAAATACCAATTGTCCCAATTAGGTTGGCCAAATAGAGGATAAGTTTGATGGTGATAACAATGATGGATCAGTTAGCAATGAATTCTTTGGGGTGAATCCTTTGGGACAATGATGATTTTTTCTACGTGTATGTCCTAACCTATGTATATGTATTAGTTTTCCAATTTTCACATCTTGATAGCAGTCAATATGAGTCCGTGGGACACAAACAGAACTAAATCCAATTTTGTAACAAAAATATCTAGTAACAAACCCAGCTACATGTGCATATAGGTTCGAAGAACAAACACATGTGTGCGCGTTAACATGTCCGAGTGATGGACTCGGAAATATTTACCTGTCTGTGAATGGTCCAAATCCAATTAACTGCAAGTAAAAAAACAGAAAGACATTTACCCGTTAAGACTACTTTACGGACGACAGATTCTAGCCGAACTTTCGACAATGAAGAATTTAACGGCGCTACCTAGTTTTCCTTTATGCATGGATGGCTTTACCCGTCAAGACTACTTTGCGGATAACAGATTCTGGCCGAACTTTGGATGATGGAGAATTTAACGGTGCTACTTAGTTTCCTTTATGCATGGATGGCTTGATATGCCACGTCATGCGTAAATCGTCCAGTAATTATCATGTGTAGCAGCTCTGGTTCTTTGGGGCCTTAGCACGACGACTTTTCGACTGTCTACTACAACAAGTTGTGCCCGCTCCGGCGATGGAGGGGCGATGACGGCGGCGCGCCTTCGGCTCGCTTCGGTGCCTGTAGTCGTCGGTCTACGAATTTGGATGTAATTTTTACTTCTGGTATTCGTTGTACTGACATGATTGCAGATGAATAGATTGGAAGTTTTTCCGAACAGTGGACATGTGTGTAAGCTGACACGTTATATCCTCGCTGGTGCTCCACGAGTCATATGGACTCCCCAAACGACTTGATTCAGCCGACTATAGTCAACCAACGGATCAGCTCCACACAAAAAATAAAACGAACGCATCGGCCTCAGAAAAAAAAACTAACGCATCAGCCGTGATGTCAAAAAAAGAAATAGAAAACGAACGCATCAGCCGCCCTCCTCCAGATTACGCGTGTCCAGCGGCCCGACGCACCGCTGTCTCCCCACATGACCTTATCTTCTTCCCCAGTCGTCTTCCCCGATCCCCTTCCCGTCGTTCTTCGCTTGCGTTGTCCGCCGCAATTTATCTCTCATCGCCGCTTCGCTCCCTCCTTCACAGCACCGCGCCTAATAGGCTCCCCTCTCTCCTTGCCCTTTCTTGCCGCCGGAGCTCGACATGTGAGGCGACGACTATTATGGCTGTGGGGCGATGGCACCTTCCAGCGACGGCGCCGCAAGGCAGTGCGGTGCGGGATGTTGCAAGGCTGCGGTTCTTCCTTCCTTCTCCCTTCCTCCTTCCTCCCCTCGTTCTTATTCTTTCTCTCACACCGAGTTCCTCTTTCTTTGTTGCCTACAGGAGGCCGATGCCAAACTGCAAGCAGCCGCCGCCTGGAGGTTCTCCGACACCGGAGCCCACCTCCTCCTCGCCCACGTCGCCGACGTCCATCCTCGTCGGATCCGGTGCCGCGGGGCCTCCCTGCGCCTCCGCCGCCCTGCCAAGTCCGTCTGCTGGAGCCGCCTCTGTCCGCTGCCTGTTCAGTCCCCTACCTCGACCACGTCTGTACACGTGCGCAAGGGCTGCAAGGCCTAGCAGTGATTCGTGACGTTCATGTGCGGGGACATGCGGAGGCCGGCGCCGGCGAGCAGGCACGCGTCGACGGGGCCATGTTGGAGGTTATGGGCGCCGACCTGCTGCACCCACCTCGAGCCGACCGCGGCTGCTGGCCGACGAGCACAAGAGAGCTCGGGTGCTTGGGAATGGAGACAACATACGCAGGGGGGGGGTGCGATGCCGGAGGCGGAGGAGAGGGGCGGGCACCTTCCGCGCCGACGAGCGCAGCCGAAGCTGTCCCCCCTTCCACCTTCTCTACCTTTGGATAAGGAGCGCGGGTGGAGTTGTTACAAAAGACAGGGATTAATTTGCAAAAACGAATCATTTTACCAGATCCACTTACATAGGGATTGCGGGTTGGATTATCTAAAACTATAGGGGGTTTTATGCAAAATTGACGCGACGACGGACGACCAGAAGCGATCGCCGCTTTATTAGTAGGTAAAGATAAAGATAAAGATAAAGAGGTAAAGATACGTATATGTAATGTATACGCACAGAATCCATCGATGAAAAATCACGAGAAGAAAAACCATCTACGTCCCGCGTTATTGGGCCTAATTGGGCCAGATGCAATCCTGTGTTCGCGAGCAGGCTTCTCGACCTCCAGACTCCAGTAAACGGTCAATCCTCCGTTCCTCGCTTCAGAGTTCACACGAGAGAGGAGTAACCCTAGCCGCCTAGCTGGACCATTCACGGAGCGACTGCCGCGCGTTCCCGTTCCTGGTGGCCAGCAGCAGCGGCTCCCGTTCCCGACAGCAAGCAGTAGCAGCAAGCAGTAGCAGCCAGCAGGAGCGCGCACACGGGGGCGGGGCTGGCGCCCAGCAGGACTGCAGTCCGCATCTGGGCGGCGCCGCGACGTGCAGGCTTGGCGTGAGGCCGGCAGCCAGCAGTAGCGACATCCGGCATTCTGACGAAGATGGACAGGAAGAGAAAAATGCTCCCAAAGACGAACGGGAGAGGTGTGTTTCTGAATTTTAGTGTCATTTTCAGAGAATGACTTAGCAATCTATAATCCAGTGATTTTAGTGAGATTTTGTGTGATGGATTGCAGATTTGACAAGACATTTTGGGGACAACACGTGAGGATTTCAAAACTCAAAAGGCAAGTTTTAAAAGTAAAGTAACAACTTACAACAAAGGTTCGCTAGAGAAGTATGAAACTCGTGTGGATAGATCTTTGGGCATTTGTAAGTTATCTAGCATTACAGGGTGAACCATTTCCTGGACATGATAAATCCACTATTTCTTTGAACAAGGGGAATTTTTTAGAGTTACTTGATTGGGTCAAAGAAAGGTACCCGTAAGTGAAGCTTGCATTTGATGAACTATGTCCTAAAGATGCCAAAATGACTTTTGGAACCATTAAAAAAAAACTTCCTAAGCATTTTGGAATGGCAGTCACCAAAGAAATCAAAGAAGAGTTGGAGAGTGTGTTACAGTGAGCTTGGGATATTCAAAAGTCTAGATCTTGGTAAAATTAAAGAAGACTTTCAAAAGAAGGGTAGGGCACTGCCA